ATACGGAAGCCAAAGCAGAAATATTCCAATTAATTAATATGAGAGCCAGATCTTCATTTGTTTGAAGAAGTTATTTTGGTTGCAATTTGCGATTTTGCAAAACTCCGAAAGTAGCTTTACTGGCAAAAGGAAGTATGGAAAACAGTTCGTGCCATTAAACATACTTGACCAAGAGGATATGCCAACTTGAATCGAAAGGAGAATCCCGCACTACCTTGCGCCTAAGGATCGATAAGGTGATGGTGCGCCACAGTCATCAGCTTCATTAGAGAGTCTTTGCGGATTCCCCAATAATTTTAGATTGGCGTGACTACACCCCTCAAATGTTAAAAACGTCAGTGGCTGCAAAGTTAGCAAATCAAAATTAAATAAAGATACACCCCAAATTTGAAGGCTAATGAATGAGAAAGAGAGAACTCATTTCTCATCGCCGCCTTCTTCTTCGTTTATGTCACTGCCATATTTTGATTATAATCTAAATGGGCCACGCCGTTCCATACACTGCTCATGCGAAAAGAAATGCCATATTTGACCCTTCCCTTCAACTATTTTGGAATGTGAACTCAGTTCGGTAATGATGTAATGCATTCCATAACGCCCTAGTGGTAAGGGCTTGCACCCCGGGCGGATCGGGTTCAACTCTTTGTGTGAAAAATTATTATTTCTAGAAAAATGCATAGGTACCCAAGTTGGACATGAGTTTATTATTTACTTCTTACATTTTTTTGAAAAGCTAACTTAACAAAAATGCTTCAGGCAGACAAACATATATTTTGATGCCAAATCCTACCAACACAAAGAAATATTTTGCTTTGCACGCCACGGTCTGCTTGTTAGAGAAGGAACATGGTCCAAAGTTTGCTTAACCCACATTTGGACATTCCTGAAAATCCACAGACGCGTTTACTGAACCAATAAATTAACCCTGAGAAACCGGTCGTTAGAGTACAGGGAAAACTAAAAAAAGGAACGCCTACACAATGATCCATTGTTCTAAAAATGTCTTGGCTATAATAATTTATTTTTAGAACGCACAATCTAATTTATTTATAAACCAAAAAAAAATCCTCATATGTAACTAGTGAAGAAGAATACAGCTCTAGAGCAGAGCTGGGCAGTATTCGATTTAGTAAATACTTTTTAGTATTCAAATCTTTTAAAGTATTCAAATACTTTGTAATTAAATACTTTTATGGAAGCAGTATTTGACATTTGTATTTGTAACTCAAATACTTTCACAAATATTTAGTATTCGAATACTTCGCAAGGTACCTATTTGAATACTTTGAGAAGTATTCGAATACTTCGCATAGTATTTGAATACTTAACCTCTAAATAGGCAGTGTACAACCTTCCTTTTTTACCAAAAATCGACTACACCAAAATTTCTCTTCTTAATTTTGGTGCGTAGAATCCAAAACAATTCGTACTTTTTCGATCAGACTTCTCAATCAAAGGTTATAGACTAGAAACAAATTTCGAAAGAAAATTCAAAGGGCTGTAACTTTTGAACTAGTAGCCCAATCTTGGAACTGTTTGAAATTATGAGACAATTTTTTCTTCGGGCCCCAAAAAAAGGCAGTGTATAACCTTCCTTTTTTACCAAACATCGACTGCACCAAAATTTCTCGGGAAAACACTTTTTCTTCTTAATTTTGGTGAGTAGAATCCAAAACAATTCGTACTGGTTCGATCAGACTTCTCAATCAAAAGTTATAGACTAGAAACCAATTTTGAAAGAAAATTCAAAGAGCTGTAACTCTTGAACTAGTAGCCCAATCTTGGAACTGTTTGAAATTATGGATTCTACAGGCCACATTCTATAAGAAAATTTTTTTTCCGGGTCGATCTGAGACAATTTTTTCTTCGCGCCTCAAAAAAAGGCAATGTATAACCTTCCTTTTTTACCAAAAATTGACTGCACCAAAATTTCTCGAGAAAACACTTTTTCTTGTTAAGTTTGGTGCGTAGAATCCAAAACAATTTGTACTTTTTCGATCAGACTTCTCAATCAAAAATGATAGACTAGAAACCAATTTCGAAAGAAAATTCAAAAGGCTGTAACTTTTGAACTAGTAGCCCAATCTTGGAACTGCTTGAAATTATGGATTCTACAGGCCACATTCTATAAGAAAATTTTTTCCGGGTCGATCTGAGACAATTTTTTTTTTCGGGGCTCAAAAAAAGGCAGTGTATAACCTTCCTTTTTTACCAAAAATTGACTGCACCAAAATTTCTCGGGAAAACACTTTTTCTTATTAATTTTGGTGCGTAGAATCTAAAACAATTCGTACTTTTTCGATCGGACTTCTCAATCAAAAGTTATGGACTAGAAACCAATTTCGAAAGAAAATTCAAAGGGCTGTAACTTTTGAACTAGTAGCCCAATCTTGGAACTGCTTGAAATTATGGATTCTACAGGCCACATTCTATAAGAAAATTTTTTTCCTGGTCGATCTGAGACAATTTTTTCTTCGGGCCCCAAAAAAAGGCAGTGTATAACCTTCCTTTTTTACCAAAAATCGACTGCACCAAAATTTCTCGGGAAAACACTTTTTCTTCTTAATTTTGGTGCGTAGAATCCAAAACAATTCGTACTTTTTCGATCAGACTTCTCAATCAAAAGTTATAGACTAGAAACCAATTTCGAAAGAAAATTCAAAGGGCTGTAACTTTTGAACTAGTAGCCCAATCTTGGAACTGTTTGAAATTATGGATTCTACAGGCCACATTCTATAAGAAAATTTTTTTTTCCGGGTCGATCTGAGACAATTTTTTTTGCGGGCCTCAAAAAAAGGCAGTGTATAACCTTCCTTTTTTACCAAAAATCGACTACACCAAAATTTCTCGGGAAAACACTTTTTCTTATTAATTTGGGTGCGTAGAATCCAAATCAATTCGTACTTTTTCGATCAGACTTCTCAATCAAAAGTTATAGACTAGAAACCAATTTCGAAAGAAAATTCAAAGGGCTGTAACTTTTGAACTAGTAGCCCAATCTTGGAACTGTTTGAAATTATGGATTCTACGGGTCAATTCTATAAGAAAATGTTTTTTTCCCGGTCGATCTCAGACAATTTTTTTTTCCGGCCTCAAAAAAAGGCAGTACTTTTAAGTTATTCAAATATTTGAGAACAATTTAGAAATGTTTAGGGAAAGTTTCCATTGTCACAAAATCAAATATAAAAATCCGATACATCTGAACGACCGAACTCGATAGTCTACGTAACTTAAAAACAATAGGGACCTTTCTTATATCCTTAAGACCATGTGTACCAATTTTCAAAGCGATCGTTTCTAAACAAGTTATCATGCACACGGACAAACGGATGGTCAAAAATGGATCTGTTCCAAAATCGCTAGGATTAATTTCAGAAAGGCGTACGTATCATGTGCACGACGTACGATCGCTTTGAAAACTGGTACATGTATTCTTAAGGATATAACTGGTATAAGAAAGGTCCTGGTAGGTACCTCCTATATAATAATATAATAATAATAATACGCTTTTACTCCCCTTAAATTTGTATATAACAATAGAAATATAAAAAAAGCTAACCCCATACAAAGTATAACTTGATTTTTTATCTAGTATACCTACTATTTTAAATTTTTAATGTATTTGAGTGACAAGTATTTGAATACTTTTTACTGTATTCGAATACTTTTCAAAGTATTCGAATACCTTTGATAGTATTCGAATACCTTTGATAGTATTAGAATACTTTTGAAAGTATTCGAATACCTTTGAAAGTATTCGAATACTTTTGAAAGTATTCGAATACCTTTGAAAGTATTCGAATACTTTTGAAAGTATTCGAATACATTCTAAAGTATTTGAATACTTATTTTTTAAGTATTTGAATACTTTTCAATGTATCTGTATCTAGTATTCGCTTGTGCTGGACGTAAAAGTATTTAGTATTCAAATACCTTTGATTTGTGTAAAGTATTTACTATTTAGTATTCAAATACTTTTTGAAAGTATTCTGCCCAGCTCTGCTCTAGAGATAGATTCTAAACCTCTTCTAAAGCTTCGCTCTCTCAAAAACCTAAAAAAACGCTACCGCCACCTAGTAGTCACTGATGCACACATACTTCTTAGATTCCTTCAAGCATTACATCTACCTATGTTATGCATGTTTGGGAATGATGAAGAAACTTCATTACCTCAACCCAATTTTGAGGACGGGCCGCTATCTTGAATTTCTTTTTTGGAAATTTATTTGTACCTTTTAATCTCACTTTGGCCGGCTGGTTTGCTGCATATGAGGACCTGTAGAAGAACGCTTGTAAAAAGAGGGGGAGTGTACTTGTACCTTCTGGGGGGGACGGTGCCACTTGATGTGGGGTCGGCGACATCTCCAAGCGGGGGTTTACTAATCTGGTGATTTTTCAGTTTTTCGTATCTTCTACTTCCTAAAGTTTTGGTCCGATTGTTTTCAAATTGATGTTGCCAGAAAGATCTTGTAAACGCGCACGATTCCTGCGTGACGGAATTTTGTTTTTTCTCCTTTTTAAGCCCACTGGGAGGAGGGGAAGCGGTACCGTCACCATTGGGGCCTCTAGAGTAGACTGTGATTTGGTCACAAACATTCCTATGGGGGGGACACTTCTGATCGTTCAATGATAATTTGTGGTATTAGAAGTAGGCAACATATCACAACCTATCTCTCTGCCTTCGCTATTGTTTTACAGAATAATAACACTGCAAAATCCGGCCAAATCTCCACAGGAAGATTACATCTCCCACCGGCATCCTTCAGCGCAAAGACTTTACAGACAAGACTACTTTCTTATTATAGCAGTTCAATTCTTAATCCTTTCTCAGCAGAAATTTAAATTTATAAAATGATTGGGGTTAAGTGAGTTTTCTGTTCATATGGGGATCAAAGTACCTACACAGAGGGGGGAGTGATGGTAGGTATGAAACACATCCACCATGAATGCAATTTTTGATTTTAGGGACAAAACAAGTGGTAAATAAATACATTTCCTCGTGTTTATTAACTTATTAAAAAAACACTAATACATGGTAGTAAATTAATTTGAATTAATGTGTGAGAATGCCTAATATATTTACAGACGACTAGAAATGTTTTAATCTCTGATTAAGAATCAAATTTGAATTATATACAAATACTTACAAGATTAGGAATCGACAAGATGTTCAGTTGGATCTAGTATTTACATATAAGAAAAATTACACAGCGACACATTTAAATTAAATTCTTAGGTAACAATCTTTAATAACAAAATCAACATTTAATATGACTAAGTGTTGAAAATAACTGCCGACGAAACATTTTAACAGCCACAAGTAGATATACCGATTGGTTATTTGGTAACGTAACTATGATGGTGAAACGATATTTGGTAAATAATGACAAACTGCACCGCTTTTACACTTCAGTCGATTTAGATATAAGATACTGATTTTTTTTATTAAATATACCACCCAGAAAAGAATGTTGATAGTACACAGGCTTTCCTTTATTCGGAACCTTCTCAGAGCGTGAACAGGTGCTGGCCGAAGTGGACTGAAAGGAGACCGACATTCCGCTGTCAAGAGAACCTACGCTTCCGCGCCTTTGAGCTTTATCTCCTGCAACTACACTGACATCACAATCCCAACTTTTAAATCTTCTTATCCAAATTCATACACTAAATGCGACTTACATTGCTCGTGTATATCCAAAAGAGAATTGCTTAGCGCCGACCGCTTAATTTGCGACTCGTGCCCCACCTCGTCTAGGCTGCCGTCGATTAACGCCTGATTTTGAGAGCAGGGACACGGGCACGGGCACACCTCGACATCTGCGACGCCGCTATCACGATTTTCGGTACCTATAAAGAAAATTCACATCAAAATTTCTCAGTTATCTTTCAAAATCACACTAAATCTAAATAAATCCCTTGAAGCATGCGCATAAAAAGTTTAAAAGTACAGTTCAGAAGTTTCTCAAAATTCCTTTCAGATTTAGTTCTCTAAGATTTTGAGGGCTCTGCAGAATTGCATTATCTCAGAATGGTTTAATAGGTTCAACTTTTTTTTTTGAGGCCATGGACCTGCATTTTTTATTTCACAATATTGAAAGAGCTAGTCATTCTAAAAAAATACATGTATCACACTTGCATAGTTAAAAAACACGCTATCACCTTTAAAGCAACATTTACACAGAACAGCTTCCTAGCTCAAACCAAAAATCACGCTTTTGGACGAGTGTCTCCAAAAAAAATCGTTTCCAATGAAAGTTTATTATTTTTCGATGTAGAATAAGAATATTCAAGAAAAAGTCTATGTTTCTATTTGAAAAAATTAAGTTGCCCTATACTTGACCCTTAAGGGACAGTTGAAGTGTGTATACCATCATTAAATCCATAAATCATTTTTTTGATACCCCCACTAGTTTCCACAATAATCGAATGTCACAAGATGAATGGGACATTATCCCCTGAAACGGATATCTTTTCTAGGCAAAAATGCTATTTATTATCGTTCCGTTCCGAATTCCATGTCTATGTTATACTCGGACAAAAACGAAATTTACGCTTTAATAAAGTAATAATTATAATTACTTCGGGAGTCTATGCCTTTATTTTATAGTGGGCGGAGTGTTAGCTAATAGCCACTCTCCCGCCCCAACCCATTATACAATTACAAACAGCCATGCCTTCTCTGGGATTCGAACCCAGGACCATAGTATTCAAAGTTGGAGCTACTAATGTCAACTTATCTGAGCCATGCAGGTCAGCTCTGAGCCCGTTAATAAAAAATGTGGGTTACCATTTTTAAAAAACAGTTGTATAATATCACGGCGCTAAAAAATCATATGTTTAAAAAAGTTTTTGACTGGTTTTATTTTTTAACTGGATTTTTTTTAGAAAATCCGAAAAATGTTAAGTTTTTTTAGGTAAAATTTTTTCGGATTTCCTAAAAAAATCCCGCTCAAAAACAAAAAAGAAAATGTTGTACTTTTACTCAGTTTTTCATTCTGAACAACTGTTTATTTTTATTTATTTATTTATTCATGTTCATGTTAGAGTGTTCTTAATAACATTTGTGCGTATCTCGTCCCCATAAGGCACTTCACTGATACTTACACACAAAAAAAAACGTTTTTTGAATATTTGGCACCCTTGATTTTTCGAAACTAAAATTATGTCACAAATTAGTTTCTAACCCAGCAAGGCTGATCTCCATTTAAATTTCTGTATTATACAGGGTGGCTATTAAAAATGAAAGCAAAATTGTCACACGCAAACAAAAAAATTAAAAATCCAAATTTTAAAAAACCCTAGAAACTTGGAAATGATATTTTTGAAGTTTTAGATTTAAGAATATCCCCAGGCCTTAGAATCTTAAATTTTTAGATTATAAAATTGTATTCAATACTTAAATTTTTCATTCAAGTGACGTCCCAAAATTGTAAAAAATTTAAGCTTTTTCATTATATCACTCCCACATACCTGATCTATTGCCACGATTAGATTTTTGCCTCTCCAACTCAGCCTCAATTCGTAAATTCTCCATTTCATCCATTTCCAGAACGGACTCCTTCAAATCTTCAGCAAATTTGCAACGATCATGCTCATTCCGCGCATTGAAAGTCACCAAAACCTTCCCATCGACACGTTGAGATAATCGTATACCGTAGGGGTAGACTGGAAATGTGAATCGTTAAAGTGATGAATAATAACAAGTGAGCTTGTTACATACATGGTACCTCAAACAACGTGACGATCAAGCCACACAACGGGTAACTGTTTCTAAAAGTGTAAGTAACGGAAGATTTCTTCTTGCTCAAAATTTTCGTTATAACCAACAGGTCGTTGAAAAGGAAAACTTCGCGCTGATGAACGCCAGGCCTCTCCTTCTTATAAATGTCACCAATTTCGTACAATCGGCAATAACACACTAACCGCCTGTGCGGAAGAGCCAAGTTCGGTTTTTTACCGACGATCGTCGCTTGCACTTTCATCACTTGCGAAACGTGATCGGAGCCCGGCTTAAACTCGTTCGCCTTCACCCGTTCGTAAATACCGGCTAACATATCACTATCTATATCACCGCAATCGTCGATGCCGCGAAGATTCTTCGTGAAATCTTCCAATTTCATTCTTCGCTCGGGTTTTATATTTGGCGTATGTAAGTCGGTATTGAGCATTATTATTGCAAATGCCAGAACGAATATCTGAAAAATCGAAGAATTATTTTTGTAGTTAATTTAATAACAAAGACAAGAAAGTAATGGTGTAATGCATGCGAGCGATAATTTTTATTGTGGAGTGTCACAGGGTTCTGTAGCGGGGCCTACAACAAAAATAATGTTAAATAATGGTTCCGAACAACCTCTCAGAGACGAGCTACTGAGAGAGGCCCACAGGAAAAGTATCATGGGAAATAGCTGCTACTGAAATATTTTCCTATGCACTCGAGAATCGCAACCCTGATTAAACTTGCGTGTTTTATAAAAGGATACATCTGGTCGTTTGCGATAAGAAGTTTAATTTTTAAGCGAAATTTAATTAACGCATAACGCATGTTCACAGCTTGCGCATTTCATGTGGAGAGGTGGGAACGTTTGGCGCGTTCCGTCGTGACTGGCGTTTATCTACTCTGTTTGTGATTGGCGATTTATATAAAAATTTTAAAGAATGAGTTTGTTTTATGGTGGAAGTGATGGATCCTTTAAATACTGGAGACAACGTTTTGACAGTGCTTGTTTGCTTACGTGTTAGTAACGGTCGGAAAGTGTTGCACATTTTGATACGCTGTTATCTTGGACCGTCAGTCCTAGTTAATTGGTTGGAGACGTAATCGGGTTGAGAGATTGAAGTTTTAAAGTTCTAAAGTGGATTTGTAAAGTTTGCGAGAAGAAGCGTTTTGTCCGTTTTTGGAAAAAGTAGTAGAGGGCAGTTTTTGAATAGTCAAGCCTTTGGCCAAGGTTTGATCATTAATTAAAAGTAAAAGTCTTCTACCGTCCGAAGAACCGCCAAATTTTATCGTCTAATTCAACAAACCAGTTTCGTATTGTCTTGCCATCAAGATCCTGTTTGATAAAAAAAAGTGAAGTTTTCTGAAGCTGTCAGCGAGTGTTTTTGTGCCAGTTCTAGGTGCGCCTGGGTTTTTACAACCGCATTTATTGGATTATTTAAAAAAAACTGTAACGAAATAAGGTTTTTAGCGCATTTCCACAAAAATAAAAAAAATGCGCTATTGTGGCCACTTTGTCCGTCCGTCCGGCTGTCCGTCCGTCCGTCCGTCCGTCCGCCCGCTCGTTTTGCGACGCTACTAGTTCTTTATCTTAAGAGCTATTGTTCTACTTTTTTCGCAATTTGGTTCGTTATAGTGTCGAGGCTTGCACCAAGGAAGGAATTTTTTCTGCGTTTATTGCTAAAAAAGTTATTAATTATTAATAATTAAAGCGTTGTTTTCCCTTAGGCAATTAAAACGAGCGTGTCATCAAGAATCACTAAAGATGACATACTTCTCATACTTCGAATCTCACTTAAGATATGGTTTGTTATTTTGGGGAAATTCTAAATTTGTCATAAATATTTTCAAGCTGCAAAAGAGAGCCCTTCGTGTATTAGTTGGTATAGGGCCTCGAGACTCGTGTCGCCCCCATTTTATGAAATTAAACATACCAACTGTATATAACTTATTTATTTTCGAATGTGTAGTTTATGTACACTGTAATGTTCACTTGTTTAAACGTAACTCAGACTATCATGCTTACAGTACAAGACATGCTCAACTCATTAGAATACCAATAGCTAAATCTTCCATTATTAATAATTCACATATAGTAATAGCTGTGAAGATATACAATTGCATTCCTCAGGGTATAAGGTCAATTCCTTCACTTGATTTGTTTAAAAAAACGCTAAGAATCCGACTTAATTCCTTTGTTTTTTATTCTTTAAAGGAATTCTTTGATATTTTCCAGGAGCTTACATAGGTTAGTATTTATTAATTTTTGACTTTACATGTATATTTATATTTTCTTGTTGTTTGTTTACGCTTGTTTATAATGTTTGTAAATTTTTTGAATTATTCAACACCTCTCTGGTAAAGAATAAAAGTATCTATCTAAAGTATCTATCTATCTATTGTAAAAAAACCAACAAACCGTTTTTTACATGTTCCATAATTTTACACTTTTACCGTTTATTAACGATCCTAGAGATCATTTATAATTTTGTATTGTTGTCTGTCGTCTGTCTGTTGGTCTGTCCGTCTGTTCCTTTGCCTGTCTGTCCATCTATCTGTCCGTGTGAACGATAACTTTGTTTAGAAATGTTCGATCGCTTTTACATCTCCGTTAGTTATGAACTGAATTGCATGAAATTCAATATGGGTATAGCTTTAGCCATATAATACGCAATGCCAAAAGTTGAATCGAATCGATTCAAAATTCACAGTGCCCTTTTCGCATCTCGACCATTTATAAACCGAATTGCAAACTTTTTTTCTTATAAAAGTATTTAAATGAAATTTGATACATAGGTGCTTGGAATAAAAGAAAATCTAGCGCCAGTTTAAAAACTTTATTTTGCCCATGCGCAGTGCCAACTTTTTTTATCTATGGAAGCATTTAAGTGAAATTTGATACTTTGGCGCTTGGAACAAAGGAAAATCTAACATTAGTTTCAAAATTTAGGTTTGCGCATGCGCAGTTACAACTTTCTTATTTAGAAAAGCATTGAAATGAAATTCTTCTTAGAAATTGAAATAGCATGTCAAAAATGGATTGCTCATGTGCAACGCTATCTTTCATATTTGTGGACGGATTTTTACGATTTTAACAGAAGTTGCATCTTACAAATGGGAAATGAATGCAAGTGGAAATGCGCTTTATGTAAATCGTTTACGATTACTTTTTAACTTGTTTTAATTTATTGCCTGTCGAACGCCCGAGTGCGTGGTATTTGTCCATGTAGTATGTTTAGTTCAAGTTTATACCTTATGATGTAGGGCCACATGACGGAAGAGCAGTGTCTATCGCGCATAAAGTAAAATTTTTTGCGGTTTTTGGAGGGAGAATTCTGGAAAATATGAGTAAAAAATCTACTTACTGTATCTGGAGAGCGCAATCTCGCGACAATGTCGACATTGCATTGGCAGTATCTCTGCGAAAATATTTCCATTAGACGTTCAATTTTCTGTGCCTCTCCCGGCATGCGAAAGTGCTGTTGGAATTTTCGTAGAGCGACGTCGACCTGCATACCGGAAAGGTCAAGCTCCGATGCGAAGCAGTCGAGGACGGCCATACAAAAGGGACTTTGCAAATGGCCGAGGTATTCTCCGATCATTTGTTTGCTCAGACCTTTTCTCGAGATCAAAAACCGCGCGACGCCCTGCGGCGTATTCTCTAGGAACCCTCTTCGTATAAGATAGGTGATCCCTCTTTCGGGTTTCTTATTAAATAAATTTAATCCTACACGATACTGGCGTTTTCTAATCGTTTCGGAAATTTTGTAACTCGTTGGCGCGGTCTGTTCCGGTCGTTCGATTACATACGTCGAGGAACTGGAATTGGAGATCATTCCTAAGCTTGTTTCCAGCGAAGGTTCGGCATATTCCGGGATGTGGCCCTTGCGTTTCCATATAGGTGAACCGGAAAATTCGCACTGAACTCGATCTGTCGATATGCTACTGTCGCTACCTGAGCTCTGTACGCTCGACAAGGATCCATTTTCGGTCGTTTTGCTCAGTCCATTTGATCTGTGATGGCGTGGGTCTACTGATCTCGACGATATGCTCGAAGTTCGCTTGGGAACCTCGGGTGGAACTCTTCTTGTACTTTGGCTGCTACGAGAACGAACAAACCCGTTATTGGTGCTAGAGGGGGTACCACAAGAATTTGGGCTACTAGCTTGTTGGAGGCTATGAGGTTCGGATTTATTTTCTATGGGAGAGGAATAATAATGAGCGCTAGGTGAATAGCTCTCCCAACAAACTGTCGGGGTTCCAGATTGACTACGGGGAAGCGGGCTGCTATCTACATTTCTTCGTTCTCTCAAAGATAATGAACGTACAGGGATTGCTCGAATTGTTCCACATTCATGACCGCTGTAAATTTAGATAAAATAATATTCGGAAAAATTTGGAAGTCGTACAGAAGAAGAAGAAATGAGAAGTGTTTTAGCGCAAAGCGCAAACATCGAGTATACTCACTTTTCAAAATTTCGCATGTATTCTGGCTCGCACACTTCCCCTTCACCGAGAGTACTACGCGCGTCGTCACCATTCGTTGGTATTCGCCGACTAATACGCTTTTCCGCTTTCGCCATCGCCGTGATCGCGGCGAATTTCTTAAGGAGAGTGTATCTCCTAAATGCCCTTTGAATCGTGAGAGCTGCATTACGAGCCTTAACACCACCATATCTACGTTCCAGCACTTCTATTTGCTTGTCTAACAGATCTTGAGATAATTCGTACCTGTTGAGGAAGAAGTGTAAATTATGGCTAGACGAAAGGGATTTAATACTCACATAGTTTGCACTCGGGTGCGTTTCAAGATATCACCATTCCTCAAGGACCCTTTCTTATGTAGAGGTTGTGTTACGGACACGTATCCGGAACTGTTCGGTGTATACAGTGTACTTGGCGTGGGTGATGCATAGTTCTGGGATTGGATATAGTTAGGTGCTTGAATATATGTTTGCTCCTGAATATGAACGGAACCTATTGCTGGCGATATAGGAGACCTCTCCATCTTAGGAGGAAAACTGAAAGGAAAAAAGACGATAAGAAAACGTATTTCTTGCTGTTCCACCCTGTAAGCCTAGTTCTCCATGGCACACGCCCTATATTATAGCAGAACGTTTGATGAAGTAAAAAATTAGGCTACAGGAGTTGGGAAAATGTTCACTCAAAAGGTTCAATTGTTAAAAAAATAGTGCCATCATTCGATAATACAATACCAAATTACCTTAATCCTCAAACTGTTGGGATTAGTCCAGGCTAAATAGCTCTAAAATGATTTATTTTCAAAAAAAATTAGTTACCGGGCGAAACCGGGTTTTTCAGGCAGGTGAAATGAATAGAAATTGGGAAAAAATAATTAAAACAGCTGAATTTTTCCGCGGGTGAAATTACGGGGGTTGAAATGGTTGGAAAGTGGTATTTTGCAAATTGTGGCAAAACTATTGATTTTAGACGAAAATGTTAAATATAAAAGTTATAGAGATTAAAAAAATGAGCAACTTTTGTATCTACACTATTTTCACATAACCTCAAATTTTCCTAGAAAAACCGGAAAAACTGTTTTTTTTCCGTTTTTTATTCTTATTTTTGCGAAAAAATGTCGTAGGGGTTTGAAATTTGGAGGTAACATAACCTGTTTTATGATAAAACAGAAGATAATTGTTTGGGCCTATAAAGTTGAACCGTTTCCAAGATCTCACGATTTCTGTAAAAAATCACCTCTTTTTCAAGGGGATGAAAAATCTATTTTTTTTCATCCTACAGAGGTGCGCGGGGTAGCAAAATTTTCGTAACGACTTACATTTTAATAATCAAAAATAAAAAATATTATTCCAATAGAAAAATTTCAAGAAAAGCGGCAAAAACCGGGGGAACAATTTTAAGATACACCGTCTTTGACAGTAGGTAAATAGGCTTTTTTGCAAATAAATTAACGTGTTGGATCCGCACTAATAAAAAGTTTTGGAAATCTGTCTTCTCTCTCCTCTTTAATGTTGCTAAAATATTTTCTTTTGTTTCCCAGTGCCCAACTGCCCTAATTAAAACATCTTTATTGTTTTTTTTTCTGCATTTTTACCGCAATAAAAGTAATTTGAAGTAAAATCGAATTCTTTTGCTTCCTGAACAATATGTTTTTGTTCACTAATTTTTCTTCCTGCCTGTTTTACAGCTGATGGGATTAAGCTGGGCCTGTTGATCGTTAATTTACAGGAATTATGAATAAAATCCTCATAAAGTTTATTCCTGCAGGTTTGACATCTCAAATCATTTGCTTTTGGCCGGTAAAACCAACGTTCATATTGCAGATTTTGCAAGTTTATCAACAGGCCCAACGCAATTGCATCAGCTATAAAACAAGCAGGAAGAAGAGTCAGTGAACAAAAATAAATTGTTCAAGAATCAGGAAGCAACATACATAATTCGATTTTATTTCGAATTGCTTTTATTGCGGTAAAAATGCAGAAAAAAGAAATAATAAAGATGTTTTAACTAAAACAGTTGAGCATAAGATAACAAAAAAGAATATTTAGGCAAACATTAAAGAGAAGGAAGAAGACAGATTTCGAAAAAATCTTTATTAACAACCATGTTGATTTATCATGTCAAAAACCGTGTATATATTAAAACTGTTTTTCCGGTTTTTGGCGATTTTCGCAAATTTTTGCTATAGGAATAATATTTTTTATTTTTGTTTATTAAAATATAAGTCTTCCCGAAAATTTTGCTACCCCGCGCACCTCTGTACGATGAAAAAAAATAGATTTTTCATCCCCTTGAAAAGGAGGTGGTTTTTTTCAGAAATCGTGAGATCTTGGAAACGGTTCAACTTTATGGGCCCAAACAATTATCTTCTGTTTTATCATAAAACAGGCTATGTTACCTCCAAATTTCAAACCCCTACGACATTTTTTCGCAAACATAAGAATAAAAAACGAAAAAAACAGTTTTTCCGGTTTTTCTAGGAAAATTGGAGGTTATGTGAAAATAGTGCAGATACAAAAGTTGCTCATTTTTTTAATCTCTATAACTTTTACATTTAACATTTTCGTCTAAATCAATAGTTTTACCACAATTTGCAAAATACCCTTTCCACCCCTTTCGTGATTTCACCCGCGGAAAAATTCAGCTATTTTAATTATTTTTTCCCAAATCCTATCCATTCCACCTGTCTGAAAAACCCGGTTTCGCCCGCTAATTTTTTTATACAAAAATATTATATAGCCTGGACTAGATGGAGTTTTCGTGTATAGTAGATTTGGATGGCAGAGCAACATTGGCTAAAACCAGGGGGAACAGTAAGCAAACTGAGATAGGGTTGCATAACATTAATTTCATACAGATCAAGCAGAAAAAACCAACCCGACGATACGTATGTACCTACGTTATCGGTTACCCAAAGCAACAGGGCGCATTAAGACCTGGATCCTTAATCTTGGGATTAAATGGTAGAACAGTCGCCTAAACTTGGAAAGACTGAACCTCTCCCCTTTGGACACTACTTTTTTAATTTTTTCCCATTTGAAATTACAAAGTTTCCCACATTTTAAAATATTTGTAAAATTCGTACAAATCATAATATACATTTTCTCAACATAATACCGAAACATTTCCAAAATTTCTAAAAAGCCCTACATTAATACACTAAATATATGTGAAAAATGCCCTAATAAAATAACCGAAAAATAACTGACCTGCAGTTGGAAAAGCTTGAATAATTCTTTTTGCCTACTATAGTAAACACTTTGTTCAAAACCGAACAACAAACTAAGTACCTGAATCATACAGTGCGTGATTTAGAAAGGGCATGCGTTTTTTCCACGTGAGAAAAATTGCCTTACAAATCTCATTTACAAAAAAATCAACAACATTCAAAATCAGTAACCTGTCATTGTCATAGATGAAAACGCCTACTGTTTTTACTAATTGTAATATTTGTGGTGCCAGTGAAATTCCGCTTTTGACGAAAATAATCTTCGTGTCATTCACTCATACTTGGTAAAATGGTCTTAAGTTAATGCCATACAATTTTTGTACGTCGACGTTCAAAGACATCGATCCATATCCGGCACCGAGACCTTCGCAAGTGTCATTTACTTTGATTACTATAATCGATGTCACCCTCAATGCGAGTTTGAAAAATCGCGAATTTACTAGTAAACAAAAGAAATGTAACAATTACCTTCCAACAACAAATCCAGATATACAAATAATCATTTTGTCGAAACTTTCTTCGTCGTTCACTTAGAAATGGTACATTTGAACAAGTTATACCGTAAGCGGCAGCTGACAAACTAAACGTATCTTTCGGGATTCAGATTTCAGGCCCCTTTTAATCACCTTTCATGCGATCAGGTAGTAAGGGAAATAAGGCTAGAAAGAGAGCAAAATATTAGGAGGAAAAAATATCGAGGAGCAGCTGCTGGTCTTTTCAAAAGCTTCGGGTGGCCACATGTCGCCGAATTAAAGACGTAGTGGTCTACGTATGGGATTGCGGATTGTATTCCACTTTAACGAAAATTCCGATTTAATTCGACGCTGGCGTCGCGATGCCGCGTTTATTCTTAAATTGCAGGTTCCCAAACACAGCGACGGATGTACAGGAAAAAAACGCAATAAAAACTTTAATAGTACACTAAAAGAAAAAAAAACACATCTTCAGCTTCATAGTCAATTCGGGCACAATTGCGTGTAAAAACTTGCCTTTTCGATTTCTTAACTAAAGCTTTCAGATCTAGATTCTGTCACAGTGTTGGCCAACACTATTCCAAAAGTGGCAGTACACAACTGAATTTATTATCAACTTTCTGTGAATATGACTGTAAGTACGTTCTTCCTGCCTTGACCAATATTTTCGATGAGTGTTAGGAGAATACCACAAGAATCGATGAAAAACTCACTGAAAGTTACGAGTGCAGGACGGATCCCCCGATATAGAAGAAGTGAGGCTTAAATTTCAAAACTGTTTGCAGAGGTCCAACCAGATTTCCTAGAAATTGAAAAATATGCTCGATTGGAGTTATACGCGGGTGCACCATCCTGTTGAAACCACCAGTTTCCAATTTTTGTTTTTTTGTGTGCCTTACGTCGTTGTATTAGCAATAATGCTACTCGGTACAGCATGTAGGTACTTTTTTAACGGGCCATAGAAAAAATAAAGTTGTTGATGATTTTTCCGAAACGAAACGTTGTATTGAAAATTTCTCAACGTTATCTTGTCGAGTTCAAATAATGGCAATAAGAAAATGTTCTTTGTATCTGTGACATCAGAACAAAATAAAGACGAAATCTGCAAATTTCGGTTTTTGTAGCATATCTTCGGAAGTAATCGAAATCTTCTGGATTGGGCATATTTTCTCTAATTTGACCATCTTCGGAGATCCCCACCCCATGATAGACATCTTTATCTTAGACACAGTGTAATTAACATGGGAGTTTGGCAAAGACGAGACGTAATCTTTTAAATGGCCAAAATATAGTATAAGTATTCACGTGGTGATTTATAAACAAACTCAAAATCAGTGACATTCCAATCTGATCATTAATAAAACAAAAACGAATTGTACAGGGCAGGTGCTCATACAAAATATTTCCATTTGAACATTTTCACCTGCTTCGTTCAGATGTAGGCAATAAACTTTAATCACCTGTGTGTTAAGATGATTAGTAATTACTATTGTCGACAAAACCAGGGCCATTCCAATTTTTCCTGAATTTGTAACAATTTCACATTTTACGTAATTGAAACGCTAATGACTACAACAAAAGAAATTATCTTCTTGTCCTAGTCTAGTATCGTCACGTGGAAAACCCCCAGGCGAGGTTAATGATAATTGGCACATTAGTAGCCCGTGCACAATTTAAACCAATTTGTTTATATTAACAAACAATCCGGTTGTTTGGGTTGATCCAGCAAGACACGTTCAAGATGTTTTCAGGTACGCCGGAGCAGCGACACGCGCGGGGTATCTGGCCGACAGCTGGCAGGTGCCAAAGTATAGGGTCCACCTCGATAAGGTTAAGC